TTCAGGATAGTGTGAAGTTTAATTTTTCACATTCACTGTGGTATATAATATGATACAAATATCTTACATCTTATACCCATTTTCTGATTGGTAGACACAATTTTTTCCTATTATGAACAATGTTGTTAGAAACATCCTTGTATACTCTTCTCATGTATTTCAGAGCTTCCATTGGGTATAATACTTAATACCAAACACACATGCACATGCATGTATGTATATAAATGTTTTCCAAATTGATTTGCACTCCCACCAGTGGTATGCTAAGTTTCAGGTACTCAGTATTCTCTTTTTGTTATTAAGTCATATACACATAGATCATGTATACATTGATGCTTTTATGGGGAACAATGTGCTGATTTTATATACAATTAGGAATGCTTACATCAAACTAGTTAATACAGGCTTCACCTCATTTACTTAATTATCATGTTAAGAAATTTATGCTCTATATTTAGTAGATTTGACATGTACCTTTGCACTATGAACCATAGGAATGTTCCCATGGAGGAATGTTCCCTCCTTCCGTCCCATCCACCACCTCTTCCCTCCATAATTTTGGACTATAGTTGTGATTATCTTTCATGTGAAAGAGTGAGTGATTATAAATTGATTTCAAAATAGTACTGAGTACATTGGATACTCCCCCCCCATTCTTAAGATACTTTACTAAGAACAATATGTTCCAGAATATGTCCCATCCTTGTAAACATAAAGAGGTAAAGTCTCCATATTTTTTAAGGCTGCATAATATTCCATGATGTACATATAACACAATTTATTAATCCATTAATGGATTGATGTGCACTTGGGCTACTTCCACGATTTGGCAATTATGAATTGGGCTGCAATGAATAATCTGGTTCAAATATCTTTGTTGTAAAGTGATTTTTGGTCTTTTGGATATATACCTAGTAGAGACATTGCAGAATTGAACTGTAGGTATACTTTTAGATCCCTGAGTGTTCTCTAACTACTTTCCAAAAGGAATGTATTAGCTTGCATTCCCACCAGCAGACAAAATTTGTAGTTTTGGGATTTTATCATGTGAAGCTACTCTTACTGGAGTTAGATAATATTTCAAAGTGGTTTTGATTTGCATTTCTCTGATGATTAAAGATTATGAGCATTTTTTTCATGTGTCTATAGGCTATGTTCCTGTCTTCTTGAGAGAAGTTTCTGTTCAAATCTCATGCCCACAATGAAATGGGATCAATTGTTCTTTTCTTATTAATAAGTTTGAGTTCTCTGTGGATTCTGGTTATCAAAACTTTGTCAGAAACATAAGCTGAAATATTCTCTCCCATTCTGAGGGATATCTGCTTGCTTTACTTGTTGTGTTCTTGGCTGTGTGAAAGCTTTTTAATGTGATAAGATCCAAGTAATGTATTTTTTGTTGCTTCAGTTACCTGGGGGGTCCTCCTCATAAAATATTCTCCCAGGCCAATTTATTCAAGTTTCCTCTGCAATCTTCCATGAATATTTATAGTTTCATGTCTTAAGTTTAAATATTTTATCCAGTCAGAGTAAATTTGTGTTAATGGTGAAAGGTGTGGGTCCACTTTCAGTCTTCTACAGGCCACCAGCCAATTCACCCAGCTACATTTGTTAAATAGGGAATCATTCCCCTAATTCATATTTTTGATAGGCTTGTCAAAGCTCAAATGATGATAAGTGTCTGAGTTTATCTCTTTGTTCTCTATTCTTTTTTTAAATTAATTTTTTTATTAAATCATAGCACTGTACATTAATACTATCATGGGGTACAGTGTACTGTTTGTGTATACAATTTGAAATACTTTCATCCAACTGGTTAACATAGCCTTCATGTCTTTTTCTTAGTTATTGTGTTAAGACATTTATATTCTACAATTAGAGAGATTCACATGTACCCTTATAGAATGGACCATAGAAAAGCTTATCATGCTCATGTCTGGGAAGAATAAACATTGTCAAAATGTTCATACCCAAAGCAATATATAATTTTAATGCAATCCCAGTTAAAGCACCACTGTCATACTTAAATGATCTGGAAAAATTAGTACTCCATTTTATAGGGAAACAGAAAAAAACCTTGAATAGCCAAGACATTAGTCAGCAACAAAAACAAATCAGGAGGAATCATGCTACCAGACTTCAAACTATACTATAAATCTATAGTGATCAAAACAGCTTGGTACTGGCACAAAAATAGGGACGTAGATGTGTAGAACATCTCTTAGTTTTCAATTCTGTTTTTCCACTGATTCCATCCCATGGTTAGTTTTCATTGTTTGGCTAGAGAAGCTGATAAGTTGAAATTGAACTGAGGTTTCTTGGAGTTGTAATTAACCAGCCCTTTACCAGAGTGTTGGGACTGGTGACTGCAGCTTTTCCCCTAAAGCTTTATAAAGGTCTGGTTCAGTACTACAGCTGGAGACTCTGGGGGCACACTTTGTATGATGAAGTTAGGTGGCTCTGTCTTGTATTCAGCTAGACTCTGTTCAATCATAGTGAGTCAGTGACTTTGGGCCAAAATCTCAGCTGTGGTGGAATAAAAGCAACTAAGACATCCCCTCCCCTGCCAGACAACAACAGGAAGTGGATGTTAAACTCTCCCACTACAATGCAACCAGGGTTTAACCTTGTAGGGTCCCTGGGCAAATGGCCCAGATCGAGAGTTCCAAACCAATTGTCCCAGTCATCACAAATGCAGATCAGGAGGGAGAGTTCAAAAGGTCTCCAGCACTGGACAGAAGGGGTCCACTGGTAGCTCAAGTATGACTCTCTCCAGTGCTCTGTGGATTCAGAAAGGCCCACCCAGCAAAAGAATTAGTCCAGGGAGGATGTTGCCTCCTTCTCCCCCTTGCACCTCTGTCACATTCAGTCACTGTCTCTGTCACACTCAGTCACTGGTAACCCTGCAGGGCTATGGCCCAGCTTTCTCTAATACTCAAGTACAGCAGGTATTTGAGCCTGAGTCAAAGGGGAGTCAATGCCTCCATGACTGGGCAATATCACTGTGCACCCTGCAGGCAAAGAAATTCAGGCCTAATTCTCTCTGGTGTCCATTGGAAATTGGGGAATGTTCCACCTGCATCTGTACCCAGCTGGGGGTTACCATCACAGAGTATGGGTATCTCCCTCAGAGACCATGCCTCTGCCTTGGTCACATGCCAACTCTGGAACCCCTGTAGGGTGTGGTCAGGCTCCCTCCATGTTCCACAGAATTGGGGAGGAGTCTCTCTCAAATTTGGGCCCGATGGGAGGGTCCATGGAGCCATTACCACAATTGGGGTGGTGCTGCCACCTGTCAGGGGTGGTGTTGCCTGTGGGCAGTCACAGGAACTGGTGGGTGTGGGTGGGTGGTACTGCTGCCCCTGAGGTCTGTGGTAAGGGTCCATGCTATGCACTTTCCAGCATTGGGCAAGTCTCTCTCCTCTTGTGACTCTCTGCTTCTACTAGAGTTATAGTTTCAGTGTAGCTGCCACCCAGCCCATGAGATGCCCTCCCTTAGCAATAATCTGCCAAACACTCCAGATTGTGCAGGAGGTATTCCCTCAGACCACTAGAAGTGGGCAGGTGGATTGGGAGTTCAGGAAGGCAGGAAAATATTGGTTCAACTTTTATCCTGGGCAAGAGACTTCCCAGGCTTGCAGTGGGATCTCTCTGGGGAAGGAGTCCTGGCCTTCAACCCACTCTTTCCCTTGTGATGTAGCAAGAGGTCATCTGTTCACTATTTGCTTGTAGAGATAACACAGAAAGCCACTCTCATGGGGTGTAGAGGGGAAGGATTCTTGTCTTATTTGGGATGAGCTTTGTACATGAAATTTGCTTCCAGCTTGCCTCAGCAGGGGTGATGTGAACCCATCACCTCTCCTCCCTCTCAGCTCAGCTCCCGATCTTCAGCTTTATTGGGTAGGTTCTGGCCATTATATCTTCCTCTGGACAGGAGCTTCTGCTGAAATTTAGCTTCAGTTGGCCACCTTGACTCAATGCTCCATAATCTTGCTAGGTCTTAATATTGTTAGATTATTTCTTTGTTTTAATTTGGGTTTTAATCTATATCTTTATTCTCTTAAGATTCCATATCTGTAAATAGACCACATTTCTCATTTCATTTAGATCTTTTCTCATTCTTCAATATCATTTTGTTATTTTTCTTTAGATTTATTCCTATATAAGCTATATTCTAAACAGTTTTTTGAAATTTTTTAACCTACAAAAATGTATGAGATACTACAATTAACACTAAGATATTTTTCACATAGATTGATCATTTTAAATAGTTTTGTCATATTTCTTCCTCTCATTTTTACATAAATTTACATATTTTTCTACCTATATACTTAATCTCTGCTTATACTTTTTTCCTTCCCTTTTTAAATTTTAAGTCATAAATACATAAATCATGTATACATTAATGCATTTATGGGGTACAATGTGCTGATTTTATATACAATTTGCAATGCTTACATCAAACTGGTTGACATAGCCTTCACCTCACTTACTTATTGTGTTAAGACATTTATACTCTACACTTAATAGATTTGACATGTACCCTTGAAATATGCACCATAGGAATGGTCTCATTGTTTATCCTCTCTCCATCCAACCTTCCCCCTCCCCTCCCTTTCCCCTCCTCTTTTCTCCTTCATCCTAGGCTACAGTTGTGTTTTATCTTTCATATGAAAGTGTGGGTGATTATAAATTGGTTTACAATAATAATGAGTACATTGGATACTTTTTATATTTGTAATTTTAGAAATAAGTGTATTTTGAAACATTTTAAATCGAAGATTCATTTTTAATAAACAATATCCACACATTGAGTGCATTAAACATTAATCACGTTATTAAAGATAATTATTGCATCATTATTTATATGTTATTATTGATTTTCTGGATTTCAATGGAATGTAGTCATATCGCTACTTTAGAATCTAGCACATTGTACATGTAAAGGGATATGGTATGTTAATTACATATTCTAGTTTTTGAAAATCACTTATCTTTTTCAGTTTGATTACATGGGCTCTGATATAAAGGCTGTAACACAGAAGGTTATTCAGATAATTGGTCTTGTTAACACTGTAAGTTTTGAAACTATTTCCTTCATATGTTTTGTGTATATATATATATGTATATATAATTGCTGTATATAGTGTTTTGTTGTGCTGTTGAGAATTTTCATAACCAAAATATGTATTGAATGTATTAAAGATATCTTTGTGATTTGACTATAAGATTTGAATTAATTCCTTTTTAAAAATATTTACCTTCTCCTTTAGATGCTTACCCAGTTAAAGCTGACTGTTGTAATATCTTCCATTGAAATATGGTCACATAAAAATAAATTTTCTACTTTGGGGGATTTTGATAATATATTATATCAGCTTTTAGAATGGAATTACAAAGATCTTAACATGAAGCAATATAACATTGCATACTTATTTGCGTAAGTATAATATTCTGAATTTTATAACATTGAAAGAATAACCAAAAATGGTTTAATATGCTAATTATAAAAATAAGCATTTTATTGTGTTTTACAAATTTGATAGATACCATGGCTGTAAAAATATGTAAGCTACAATCCTGTCCTAAAGAAGCCATATAATGCAAAACTTACAAAGTTTTATCAAGCAACAGAAAGTTATGAGGAAAGAAGGGAGGGAGGTTGTGGTGTCATGGTGTGTGGCATATGTTTTGGTTGTAGGACAAAATTATAAGAGGGACTTTACCTAACAAATGCAATCATTGTAATCTGGTTCTTTGTACCCTCAATGAATCTCCATCAATTAAAAAGTAAAATTCCAAAGAAGTTTTGAAATAACTAAGAGTTTACTTATGAATGACCCAATGACCAGATATTTATTAAATTCAGAATTGAAAAATGTATATCAAAATATTATTTTTTAGGATACAGAAGTATAAAATTTATTTTACTGTCTTAGGAGAGAGAGGGTGAAAGAGTGAAAGAGAGAGGAGAAAGAGAGAAAGAGAACAGGGGAGTGTCTGGCATCCTAAAGAAAGAAGAGAAAATGCCAGCAGTGACACCAACAGGCTCACACTTTTAAGGGACACAAAGAAAAAAAAATGTTGATATTCAAGCTTTGAGAAAAAAAAAAAAAAACATTTAAATACATGTACTATAATTCAGAGTGTCCCAGTGTTTAGGACATTGTAATGGTTCAACACTGCAGCTCTGAAAATTATTATTGTTAATAATAATACTTAAAAATGCACTTTATAAGCAAAGTTGTTTTTTAGTTTCAGAGAACACCCTACCTTTATAGGAAGCACATATCCTAGAGAAATATGTAATAAGAAATATGCTGTTGGAGTTGCTCTGGTATGTAATGATTTTGTTTTCTCTTACTATTTACATTTCAAAATTTCCTGAATGTTTTAAAGAATGCATAATATATAATTTAGTTTACTCATCTTTTTACATCTTTTATAATGTATTACTAATTTGGAGAATAAAAATGAAAGTGTATGTTATTGATATTATGATAAATATTTTAAAAGTTAAACTGATCACAATGCTATATTGTTCTCAAAAAGCATAGTTGGCCTTTGTAAGTCAAATTTTAACTTTTTAAAACAGTTGTATACTATACATCAATATTTTTTATGTAGTCAATGCTAAATTTATGTTAATTGTTAATCATATTAATTGCTACTTTTTCTCTGTAATTGAATAATTTGTGTACATTGTGTGCTTTTTATTAAGTAATATTCATTCTTATATATGAACATTCCATGTAAAGCTGAGTTATATAAAATAAGAAAGGGGAACAAACTTGAGAGTACTTCAGAAAAAAGACATCTGCACCATTATTTTTATGCTGACCTATTTGTACAGTTGATTGACTTCTACTGTCATGTGCTCAAAAGCAAACTATCATTGATGGAATAGGAATGTTTAAAACCAGTTGGTACGTACCTTGTTCCCATGACTATAAAAGTCACATTGAATGATCACATAGGTCTAAAGCCAATTCTGAATTCTTTGTACCATAGCTCAAGAACAATCTGACACTTCTTAGGGGACTTATTTTCAGTCCTGGTCTTTGGTCTTTCCTCAGCAAAATTTTGAGAAAAGAGGATCAACCATTATTTGGCTTTTCATTACCATTATTAATTATTCATGAAATTCATATTCCTTTGTAAGGTCTGATTTTTAGATTGTGTATGTGCCATTGTAAAATATTAATTTTAATTAGATATTTTTATAATTAAAAGTTGTAAATAAAAAGAACTAATATGATATAAATATAGAAGTTAATTACATTTTTATATTACACAAATAGTTTGAAAATTAAATTTTGTGGAGGTTAATACTAACCATAATATCCTGAAATATTTTTTAAAAGAATTACTTCCTTGACTATGACAGTTTATTAAATTTCTTGACATCAGGTAGATTAAAACCTCTGTGTTATGTGTTAGTACTATTTGGCACGCACACACACACACACACATATATATCTATATTTATATCTATGTATATCTCCATACTGGATTATGATTGTGATGGTGTTTAATTTGGGGAGAATAGACTTATTAATAATAGTCTTATTAATAATAGACTTATTAATAATAATAGGCTCTTTCAATCCACTAGATTTGTATCTCTATTAAATCTTGAGTTTCATTCATCTCCATTTCACTCTTACATATTTTATGAGTTCTGATGCTGTTGCAATTAATATTGTTTACCTTTCTAATTTTCACCACTGGTATATAGAAATATGGTTTATTTTTGTATATTTTGTATACATCTGGTATCTTTACTGAATTTACGAATGAGATCTACTAATTGTTTTTGTGTATTCATTTAGCTTTTAAAATATATATCATCTTGTCGTCTGTGAACAAATACAGTATTGCTATCTCTTTTTCTTTCCTTATTTAACTCACTTGGACATATGGGACATTGTTTAATAAAAGTTATAAGAAAAGATATCCTTGTTTTTATCCTGAAATTAGGGGGGAAATTCTTTAATAATTGAATCATTAGGTATGAATGTATTTATGGATGAGTATGTATGTATTTTATCAGATAGTGAAAATTCCATTCTTAGTCTTCTAAGAGTTAATATCAATACTTGAATATTGTTAAATATTTTTTTTCTTAATTAAGTCCCATTTTTTTAAATTTTTGTGTTTTGAAATTGCCACTGAAGTCTTCATAAAATATTTTCCCAGTCTGACATCATCAAATTTTGCCACATGTTTTCTTTTAGTATTTTTATAGTTTCAAATCTTTGATTTAACTCTTTTATCCATCTTGAATCAATTTTTGTAAGTGGTGAAATGTGTAGGTCCAGTTTCAGTCTTTTGCATGTGGTTATCCAGTTCTCCCCAGCACCATTTATTGTATGGGGATTTTTTTTTTTCCAGTGAGTGCTCTTGTTTGGTTTATCAAAAATGAGGTAGTGACAAGAGACTGGATCATCTCTAGCTTTTTTGTTCTGCTCCATATGTCTATGTCTCTATTTTTGTGCCAATACCATGTTGTTTTGATTGCTGTGCACTTGCAATATAACCTCAAATCTGGTAGTGTGATGCCTCTGGGTTTGTTTTATTACTAAGAATTGCCTCAGCTATACAGGGTTTGTTTTTCTGGTTCCACATGAAGAAAAGAACTACTTTTCTGAATTCCTCAAAGTATGCTGTTGGTATTTTAATGGAGATTGCATTAAATTTGTACATTGCTTCAGGTAATACAGACATTTTAGCAATGTTTATTCTTTCTAATAACATGAAAAAACATGGTTGTTCTTCCATTTATTAACGTCTTCTGCTATTTCTTTTCTTAGGTTATTATAATTCTCCTTGTAAAGATCCTTTACTCCCTTTGTTAGGTAAATCCCCAGGGATTTAATTTTCTGGAAGCTACTGTGAAGGGTATTGTGTCCTTAATTCAGTTTTCAACTTGACTTTTATTGGCTTATATAAAGGCTACTGATTTGATGACATTGATTTTATACCCTGAGACATTTACTGTTTTTCTTAGGGGTGTTAAAGATCCCAGCTGTTACTCCATTTAGTATGATATTGGGTGTGAGCTTGTCATAGATGGCTTCTATCATTTAAAGAAATGTTCCATCTATGTCTTTTTTCTTAAATGTTTTTTTTCAGAAAGATGCTGAATTTTGTCAAATGCTTTTTCTGCCCCTCTACAGAGTATCACAGAGTATCTACAGAGTATGATACTCTGAGTATTCTATCAGAGTATGGTCTTTGTTTTTGCTTCTATTTATGTAGTCAGTTACATTTATGGATAATGGATATGTATGTTGAACCAACCTTGCATCCCTGGAATTAAGACCACCTGATCATGATGTATAATTTTTTAAAATGTGTAGCTGTATTCTGTTTGCTAGAATATTATTGAGTATTTTTGCATTAATATTCACTAATGACATTGGTCTGTAGCTTTCTTTTTTTCTGGATTCTTTCCTGTTTTTGGTATCAGGGTGATTTTTGCTTCATACATGGGAGGGTTCTTTCCTTCTTTATATTTTGGAATAGGATCTGCAATATAGACCTGTGCTCTTCTCTGAAGGGTTGGTAGAATTCTTGTGTAAAACTATGTAGTGTAGGACTTTTTATCTGTTGGAAGCTTTATATTGTTGGTGCAATTTTGGTCTTTGATATTTATCTGTTCAAAAGTTCTAATTATTTCTGGTTGAGTTTAAGGAGGTGGTGTGATTCCAGGTATTGGTCTATTTCCTCTATGTTTTCAAATTTCTGGGTATCGAGATTTTGTAGTAATAAGTGATGATTTTCTATATATCTGTGGTATCTGTTATTAACCCCTTTTCATTTCTGACTGAAGGTATTAGAGACATTACTTTTCTGTTTATGTTAATCAGGCTAATGGTTTATTGATTTTATTAATCTTTTAAAAGAATCAACTTTTTGTTTTGACAGTCTTCCAAATGACTCTTTCCCAATTTCATTTATTCTGGTATATTTTGGTTATTTATTTTCTTCTGCTAAGTTTCTCTCCATCTGTCTGGTTTTTATTTTTATTTTTGGATATGGGCATTTAATGTGCTAAATTTTCCTTTTAATATCCCATTGGTTTTGATAGCTTGTGGCTATTCCATTACGGTCTGAGTAGATAGAAGCTATAGTTTTTATTATTTTAAATCTGTGGAGTTTTTTTTTTTTTTTTTTTTTGTCCCAAGACTGGAACAATTTTGGAGAATCATCCATGAGCTCATGAGAATGTATACTTACTATTTTTGTGGTAGAATGTTCTGTATAGGTCTGTTAAGCCCATTTGTTCTAAAATCATGTGTAAGTCCATTGCTTCCTTGTTTAGGTTTTGCTTGGAAAATCTGTCCAGTTCAGAAGAGGGGTACTGAAGTCCTCAGTAATTATGGTATTGCAGGATATCTTTTTGTTCAGATTGTTAGGATTTATTTTATATATCTGGGAGCATTTTAAGTTGGCTGCATAGATATTTAAGATTGAAATGTCTTCTTGTTTTATTAGTTTTGTTGGTTTGTAGCCCAAGAATCTATAAATAAGATGCCAATTCCTGATTTTTCTGATTTCCATTTGTCCAAAATATTCTGTCCAACCCTTAACCCTGAGTCTTGTTTTGTCCTTGGATGTTAGATGTGTTTCCTGAAGAGTTCATAGAGTTGGCCTATCCCTTTTTATCCAGTCAACTGGCCTGTGCCTCTTCAGTGGAGAATTCAAGTCGTTCCTATTTATTAAGAGAATTGATAAGTATAGAGGAGTTCTGTTCATCTTGTTTAGTGGAGCTCTGTTGCTTAGTGTTAATTACTGTGTCATTGTGGAAGCTAGGTGTTTTTTCTTTTTCTTTCTTTCTTTCTTTCTTTCTTTTTTTTTTTTTTTTGAGCATCTTTACTTTGCTGGTGGTCCATTTTATGGCCAGTGTATGGAATGTGTCTGAGTATTTCCTGAAGAGCTGGTCTTGTAGTGATGATTTTCTTCAATGTTTGCTTGTCAGAAAAGATTTAATTTCGTCATTGAATATGAAACTTAGTTTAGGAGGACACAGAGTATTGGATGAAATTTTCTTTGTTTAAGAGGGTTAAAGACAGGTAACCACTGCTTTTTGGCTTGAAAATTTCCAACTGAAATGCCTGCTGTCACCCTGAGGTTGCTTATGCCTGGATTCTTGCAGAATTTTCTCTCTCCTTTTAACTTTAGTGTCTAGGAGATTCTTTGTTTTTATTGAGTTATCCTGAAGTTCTGTGACTATCTAGTATCTGAATTTCTGGGTCTCTTGAAATGCTTGAGAAATTCTCCACCTTGATGTCTTGAAGTAGAGCATCCATGATTTCAGGACTCTCTTATTGTTTAGGGATCTCTATGATTTTCATATTGTGAACTTTGTGTATTCCATACCTCTTTAAGAGATTGCTGTACTTTGCTTTCTTCTTTCTTTCTCTTTGAATAAATTGGGTTAGTTTTGAAGTCTTGTCTTTGGCCTCTGAGATTCTTCTCCAAGTTCTACTTTATTGCTGAGACTCTCTACAGTGTTTTGAATACCTCTTGAATGCCTCTTTCAATTCTTTAATCTCTGATATATACCCTTCTTAATTGTGTCCAGATTCTTGGTGACTGTCTTTAAGTGATATCTTGAGACAGTTTTTGGACTTCTCTATGAACTTCTTTTTCCATCTTTCTTCAATTGTAGTCATCTAATTTGCCAACTATATTCTGAATTCTAGCCATATTTTTTCAAAAATGTATTTATAGATGATATTTTTAGCTGTATCTACCTTGTAATCTCTTGGGGGAGTTGATCTGTTATGATTTTTCATGTTGTTAGGGTACTTATGCTGAAACATTACCATGTGTGTTTTAAATTTATTTATATACGTATTTTCAATTTTTAAGCTTGAATGGTAGGGTGTCCATAAATAGTTGTTGAGAGATAATATAGTTGGGATCTCTTTGACAGCTCCCAGGAAACAGTTTCAGCCTGGAAAGTGGAGCCTCGGCTGACCAAGTAGCACACCTATCTGCTAGCAAAATGCTCTTTAACTGGGTGCAGGGATTTTTGGACCTTGAGTCAGGTAGGCTGGTGACAGCACTGGCTGCCCTGAAGTTCAGAACTCTCCACAACCTTTCTTGACTTGCCAGTGCCAAGTGGCACCTCCCTGTTCTTCCAGCTGCTCAGTGAGTATTAGGGCCATTGGGTGCCTAGTCTGATGAGCTGTTGTCACATTCAGAAGCTCCAGGATGTGGAGCTCACCCCAACCACTCCAAGACTGTGCTTGCTACATATTTAGCCTGCTCAGAAGAGATTTGGGGACATTCAAACACTAAAATAGGCTGGTTGATGTGTGTTTCATGAGTCCTGGATTTCAAAGTGATGTGGCAGCTTATTGTTATGCTGATCTACTCAGTAGTATTTTAAGGCTGTTTGGAAACTAAATGGCAGTTTGGAATCAGATTCTTGTGCCCCAGGATATAGAGCTCACCACTCCCCTTCACCATTGATTGCTCATACATACAGCATCCGAGAACTCCTTTTCAGAGCTGCAAGGTGTGGAGTTCCCTTAAGACTGGCCTTGTTTTCTCTAATCTAGGTTGGTGGCACTGGGGGGCAGGATCTCTAGGTGATGTTCCTAAGCCAGGGGCAGTCCACAGAGAGTGAGCCAAACTATTCCAGTTGAAGTGTCAGTTCTGTTCATCTTCAAAAAGTTTTGGCTTTTGCCTAGGATTTCTCAGAGTGGGGTATCGTGAAGCTAGGCCTGCCATCTCCATGCTAGTGGGGCATAACTGTTGGCAGAACCCTCAGGAGGAGCCTAAAGTGCACAGATGCCAGTCAAAAGTATTACCCCAGGTGGGGCAAAGATCCCACCTATCGGGAGGCAGACTCAGCCCATGTGCTGAGTCTACCGATGTTAGTGTAGTTGACTCAATTTCCTCCTGCGGTGGGGTTAGGGCACTCTCAGAACACTGGGCCACACAGTGCAGAGGCTTCTGTGAATTCCCATCAGATATAATGAGGAAGCAGGGCTTTTTACCTTCTGTTTTCTGGCTGTCATTCATTCCTGCCAGCTGCTATTGAGAAAGTGGCCTCTGCAACTCTTATTTCTGTGGTTGCTATGAAGGCTGGGTAGAATCCAAACTTCCTTTGCCTCTGTGATGCCTGGGGGTGGGGCAGCCCTTTTAGGCTGTCTCAGCCAGGATAGCATTCCCCACTAAACCATACAGAGGGAAGTAGGCCCCAGAAGGGGGCAGTATGTCTGGTAACCAAAGAAAATGGGGGGCTGGGCTGTGGCCATATGCCAGCTAGAGCCAAAATTTCTCACTATCCTGTCAGGAGAGGGACCCTGAGGTGCAGGACAGGTGGGTCTTTGGTCCTTAGTGACACACTCATGTGGGGTGAGAGATCCTGTGGTTCACTGCTCTCAAAGAGCTCCTGGGTGAATTAATAGGTCTCCCTTATCTTTCTATTAAGCTCTGGGCTTCTCCAAGTCTGGTTCATTCCATACCTGTTCTCTGCTCTCTCCTTTCCTCTTCTTATCTTTGTCCTTGCAGTTTGTCTCAGTGGGGTTGCTGTAAGCCTTTAGTTCTTCTCTACATGATCTACCCCCACCTCCTAATTTCAACAATTCTGAGTTCATGAGTCCAGTTTTCGTCCTTCTGGATGGGACCTTCTGATGAAAGCTTCCTCTACTCAGCCATCTTGCTCTATTTTGCTTAGTTTAAATATATGTCCTTTTATTTTTCTTGTTCTTTCACTCTGGCCTCTGTAAGTGTTTACTGTCCTCTCAAGACTTGCAAGTGTTACCTAAGTCAGAGCCAGTAAGAAACACTAGTACTGTACCAGGCATATTGATAGCAAAGATTTAGAGCAGAGAATTGATCAGTCTAGTACTAAGAAAAAGTGGAGGTTACCAAAATTGAGATCATAAGAAGAGACTGCCAATTTGACACTTAGACCCCTGGAGAAAGGAACACTGTCTCCAGCTTCTGCTGCTACTTTCAAAGAAGAAGATTAGACTGATTATGATGGTACTGGAAGAAACTGTAGCTGAGAAACTATTAATTATGGACTAAACTACAGATACTGAAATGAACTTCCACTCCAGAGGTAATATGCTGCTGGTTGGACAATGCCAACATAACCAACAGATCATGAAAATGACAAAGTCAGTCATCTCTTCCAGTTGAGATAGTTCAGTGACACAAAAAAGGGGGAAATGCAGTTTGCAGATTCTTAACTCTGTGATCTTATAGCATAGAAAGGAAGATTTGAAATTCATTTTGTTGTTTGTATTAATCTTATGTGTCATATTTCTTATACAATCTCTTGAAATATTAGTTAATTCAGCTGGTATTTCCTCTTCTGAATAATAGAGGGAATGCCAAAGTTTGGGAAAAATTCAATCTTTCTCATAACTGCATTTGATCAAGAACTGGGATAAGGGAAAAAAAGATTGCTTGGGTTCAAGCAGTCTTACAAGAAATGAAATTACTAACTCTGTTTTGAAAGTGGAGTGAAATGTTTGATGTAACAGTTTGTTGTTATATTGGCCATGCTGTTTTCTACCTGTTAGTGGTGATAGTTGAACAATAAACAACCCAGAGCAATATAGAGTATCAAAAATTTAGAAACATCTTCCTGGATCATTGCCACTATCTCCTCTCTTGTTGTCACTGCTCTCTTACTTTCAATACATAAGATACCAACTTTTTTTTTTTATATAAAGAGCAATTTCAAATAAGTTTACAAGATCAATTCACTTTTTTCTAGGGTTTTTTTTTTGTTGTTGTTGTTGTTGTTGTTATAGAGATGTCCAGAGGCCCAAATTATTTTGCTTTGTGTTCCAGGGATTAATTGATCTTTGTTAAATTACTTAAACATGCAAAGTAATGGCATATGCATAATTAATGCATATAAAATATGGGTTAGTTCCAAACATTTTCAGCTTTTTCCTCTCTTCAAAGTAATTCAAAATTATTTAAAATAGAGGATGATGACTTTTTTCTCCACCTATATGACAACACTCTTTAATTGTCTTCTGAGGAGGACTTTTAAAGGAAAACATAAACATTGGAAATGCTATAGAGAACAATACCTACTGAAGATGTATTATGTATTGCTATGTAACAGATTACACCAAAACTTAGTAGATAAAAATAGATTAACTCTGTATTTCAGGAATCTAGGAGCTGTTTAGTGGATGATTCAGATTCTGAGTTTTTTAAAAAGCCATCAGCATGGACTATAGTTGTCTCAAGATTTGACTGAGAAGCCTATATGTTGAAGGCCAGCTATGTGGCTATTGGTGACTTCAGAAAATATGTTTCTAAGCTGACTCATATAGGCTGCAGTAAAGGTCCACCTCACCACATGCCACCTGCCTTCCCTCAGCATGAACAAGAAAGAGTAAGATAGAGAAGTCTTTTTATAATGGGGTATTAGAAACAATACCCCATTACTTCTTCTATAGTCACTTAATTTGAAGCAAGTTGATAAATGTAGCCTGCCCTCAGTGGAGTGGGATTACATAAGGACATCATGAATACCAGGAGGCAGAATCACTGGTACCTACTTTAGAGGTGTGCTACTAAATATAGAATTAGCATAATTAATTTTTATTCTACATTTTTATAGAATATAGAATTTATTTTAAAAAAGCATTTAAAAAAATAATTCAAGCAGTCAATAAGAATATGGTGTTGATGACTAGGGAAAGGCTAAGTCCACAACCAATGCGTACTTAGCATGGATACATTACATGCACACTTGCTGGGTGAGGGGCACACCTATAACTTTTACTTAAAATTACAAAAACAAACTATGTAACCAAAACATATGTACCCCCATAATACACTGAAATAAACTTAAAAAAAAAGACTATTAGGTTTGCTAAGATAGCTGGTATTGTTTTAAGTTAATAGTATTCCAAAATGAAATATAAACTATATGTGCACTCATCCATGTTTTGTAAGTCTATCATCAAAATGTTATATAACTCAACTACATGTGTGCATTTGTATTCATAGGTATTGTGAGTATATTAATAAATTTAAAAAATTCAACACTAATTTTTGATTATAGTAAATTATGCTTTATGGTATAACTATAATTCTCAGTTAACTCTTTTTTCTTATTTCTTTCTTTTTACATTTAGTACATAGATGGTTTATCCTTGGAGTCATATGCTGTTATAATTGTGCAGTTGCTTGGCCTTAATTTGGGATTAACTTATGACAATACTGACATCTGCTATTGCTCAGGAGATGTTTGTACAATGACACCAAAAGCAGTGTAAGAATTTTCTTAATTAAATGCAAATATTTCCTCTTTCTTTCATTATTTTTTGGTTAGGAACATTTGTATTTCTTTTAAAATACTTTTTATTTTTAATTATAGATACATATGAGGTGTACGTGTAATATTTTGATTGAAGCATACAATGTGTACTGATCAAATCAGTATAATTGGGATATCCATTATCACAAGCTTTTGTTATTTCATTGTGTTAAGAATATTTCCATTTTACTTGTTTAGTTGTTTTGAAATATACAACAAATGATCAATGATGAATTAACAAATGATTAATTATAGTCACCTGCTGTGACACTGAACAGTAGATATTATTTCTTCTATCTAACTGTATTTTTTTTTTTTTTGGACAGTGGATAAACATTTATTGAGTCTTTTAGTTTATAAAATGAAGTAAAAGGAACATATTCTTGGCCAATATTTTACCCTGCTGTAGTAAAATATTTGACTCCAGGATTTTATAAGGATTACAATTCTCAAAAATTGGGATAAGTAAACAAGTTTTAACTTGATTCCTTGAATTTTCCAGTTGACTCTTACATTATAATAGTAACAAGCTCTAATTAGTTACATAAGTTTCTTCAAGGGAAAGTTTTATTGCTGATGTCTTTAGAACTGAATAACTGCTATTTCAGCTAATATGCATTAATTCCACTTCAAAAATGAGTTTTGGATTTGGTGGAATTTTGGTATCAGTCTGTTCTTTCTTTCCATTAGCCTATTCTGGTTCAATCTCCAATTGAGTTTTTCTCCTTTACCCATAGTGAAGAGTGCTTCATCACATCCTCTGATTACTTTGCCTACCTAAAAATGTAAAGGCTTGGCATGTTTCTTCTTCTTTTAACTTGTCTGAATATTAGTATCAAAAAACAGATCCATCCTATAGTGTTCCTGTATATAAGTAGTGAACAACATCTCCCTTTTTGGGATAGTTGGCTTTGTCTCCCTTTGTTAGAATATATTTTGTATATTTTTGGTGAACCCTTGTCCAGAGTCTTTTCAGACTTGGTTTCTTTGGATTTATCTCCATTAAGCTTCACATTTGTCACTTGTTCAGACACTTAACATACATTTTCAGTACCCTTGAAATGCTTAGTTTCAAAAAGAGGGTTATAGGCTTTAACCAAATGGTCCTTGTTAGAAGTCTTGGCCACATTTTTAATGTTTCCTAATAACTTATGTTCTGCAAGAAACAAATCGGAACTGCAGTCCTCAGAAACTTGATAATGTCCTTCTTGGGCAGCTACTCCTAATCCACAGTAGCTCCACAGTCCATGTCCACTGAGGAAAGGCTGCCACCATCTTCCCTCTGCTGCCACCATTTTGTTTATCTAATTGTGTTTTTGTACCCATTAACAATCTCATGTTTACCTTGCTTCCACTCTGTCCTTCCCAGCCTATGGTAACCTACTTTCTGTGAATTGAAACAATTATGTTGTGAGCTCATTCTAGAAAAAGTACCTCATTGCTGAATATCACTATGGTCACCTTCAAAGTACTCCTCTTGGCCATCTGGTGACAATAGTGATATCCAGCAGTGAGGTGTGAGGCACTTTTTCTAGGAGAAGCTCGTGAACTTAATTGTCATACCTTGTAGAGTGAAAGCTCTGATGGCCATTCCAATAAAAGAGTTCTAATATTGCTTTGAAGGGTGTACTAGGTTCTGGTGTCGGTGTATAGCTTCCCAAAGGGAGTACCTCAAAGGTTACTGTAGTGATATTCAGGAATGATGTATGTAGCACTTTTTCTGGGATGAGTTCTCAAACTTAATTGTCTGACTTTGTCTCTTCATGAATTCAATTTTTATTTTTAAGATCCCACCTAAGAGTGAGAACATATGATATTTGTCTTTCAGTTCTTGGCTTATTTCACTTAACAAAATGTCCTCTAGTTCTATCCATGTTGTTGCAAATGACAAGGATTCATTCCTCTTTATGACTGAATGGCTGAACTGTATTCAATTGCATATATGGATCATATTTTTTTTAAAAAATTGATTCATCCATTGATGGATACTTAGGTTGATTCCAAATCTTATTTATTGTTAATAGTGCCACAGATATCTCTTCCATGCTATATACATATCTTTCATGTATTGATTTATTTTCTTTTGGACATATCCCACAGTGGGAATCCTGGGTCATATGACAGTTCTAGTTTTAGTTTTCTGAGAAACCTCCATGTTGTTCTCCATAGCAGCTGTACTAACTTACATTTCCACCAACAGTGTTGGTCCTCCTCCTCTTCCATGTCCTTGACAGCCTGTCTTTTTCATAAAAGCCATCTTATTTAATAACTGGGGTGAGATGATATCTCACTGTAGTTTTGATTTGCATTTCTCTCATGACTAATGATGTTGGCTATTTGTATGGTTTCTTCTGCGAAATATCTATTAAGATATTTTCCTCTTTCAAAAATCAATTTATTTGTTAATCCATTCATGGATTGATGGAAACTTGGGCTGCTTCCATGACTTGGCAATTATGAATTGGGCTGAAATAAACATTCTGGTGCAAATATCTTTGTTGTAAAATGATTTTTGGTCATCTGGATATATACCTAGTAGAGGAATTTCATGATTGAATGGCAGGTCTACTTTTAGTTGCTTCAGTATTCTCCAAAATTCTTTCCAAAGGGGACATATTAGCTTGCATTTCCACCAGAAGTACAGAAATGTTCCCTTCTCTGCACATCCATGCCAACATCTGTAGTTTTGGGAGCTGGAACATAGCCTTCTTAGTAAAGTATTTCAAGAATGGAAGAAAAAGTATCCAATGTACTCAGTAGTATTATGAAACCATATATGTAATCACTCACACTTTTATATAAATGATAAAAACACAACTATAGTCCAGAATGAAGGAGGAAAGAGGAAGGGGAAGAGAGGGCAGTGGGGAGGCCAGAAGGTGGGAAGGTAACTGGTGGGACTTCACCTGTTATGCACAATGCAAGGGTACAAGTCAAAACTTTAAACAGTAAAGTATAAATGTCTTAGCACCACACACAAGTAAGTGAGATGAAGGTTATGTTAAACAGTTTGATATAAGTATTCCAAATTGTATATAAAATCAACACATTCTATCCCAGAAATGTGTTAATATACACAATTATGATTTAATTAAAATCAATTTATTTGATTTTTTTTTTCTATTGAGTTCCTTTAGCACCATTTATATTTTTGTTATTAATCTGTTGCCAGATGGGTACTTTTCAATATTTTACCTCATTCCTTGGGTTGTCTCTTTCTTTTGTTGTGTCCTTTGCTATGCAGAACCTTTTTAGCTTGATGTGCTCCCATTTGTCTATATTTGCTTTTATTGCTTGTACTTTTGTGATCTTACTCAAGAAATCTTTGCTCATATCAATGTCCTGGAATGTTTCTACATTTTTTGGTACTTTTTTTTATAGTTTCAGGTCTTATATTTAATTCTTTAATTTAGTTTGATTTGTTTTTTGTGTGTGGTGAGAGATAGGAATCTATTTTCATTCTTCTGCATATGGATATCCAATTTTCTTAATTTATTGAAGCAACTGTCCTTTCCCCAGTGTATGTTCAATAAATGTGTGGATCTATTTTGGGGTGCTCTATTATGTTCTGTTGGTCATTGTGTCTGTTTTTTTACTAGCACCATGCTATTGTGGTCACGATAGCTTTGTAGTATAATTTGAAGTCAATTAATATGACTCTTCCAGCTGCATTTGTTTTGCTCAGGACGGCTTTGGCTATTCTAGTCTTTTGTAGTTCAATGTACATTTTAGGTTTATTTTTCCTATTTCCATGAAGAATGTCACTGGTATTTTGATAGGACTTATATTGAATCTGTACATTGCTTTCAGTAGTGTGGAGATTTTCATAATATTGATTCTTCAGATCCATGAATCCAATCTATCTTTTGTATTCTTTTATTTTTTTAATCAATATTTTATAGTTTTCATTATGGAAATATGAGAAAATTCTTTCCTTCTTACTACTTTCCAGTGTAAAGATTGTATTTTTTTCTTTTGGCCCCCTTAAGGGCACCCTCTAGGAACAATCCATATTAATTGTGTAATTTTAGTGATTCTGCAAGATATGTATGCTGACTGTTTATAATATTGATAAGAGAAGACATAAATAATTGGAAAGATATTCCATTCCATCCTTATGGAATGGAAAGATACATCTTATTAAAATATTCACACTTCTTAAAGTGATCTGCAGATTCAATGGAATTCCTATTAAAGTTCTATTGTCATTGCGCACAATGATAGAAAAATTAAAATATGCATGGAACCACAAAAATTTCTGAATAGCTGAAGGAATATTGAGAAAAAAGAACAAAGATGAAGACCTCATACTGCATGTTTTCAAGTTCCTTTATGAACATATAGTAAACACAGCAGTGTGAAAACAAATGCATTGACCAGTGCAATGGGGTGTAGATCTGAGAAATACATTTAAAATCAATTTATTTCTTAAAAAGGTCCAAAGGATACACCATGGGGAAAGAAGTGTATCTTCAATAAAGAGTGTTGAAAAAACTAGATATCCACTACAGAAGAATGAGACTAGATCTTTATTTCATATCATGTGCAAAATCAACTTAAATGGATTAAAAACATAAGACTGGAAACTCTAAAACTACTAGATGAAAAAGTAGGGTAAAAGCTTCTTGGCTTTGGTCTGGGCATTGATTTTTTGGGATATGAAGCCAAAAGAACTGACAACAAAGGCAAACATAGGTACATGAAATCACAGTAAATGAAAGAACTAAGTGTTAGCTACAATGAGAAGAGAAGGAAATCCTTATACACTGTTGGTGAGGATGTAAATTAATACAGTCATTATGGAAACAGTATGGGAATTCCTCAAAATACCAAAAGTAGAATACCACATGATCCAACATGAAGAAGTGGGTATAGTACATCTGGGTATAGTACATATATACAAAAGAATTAAAATTAGTATGTTGAAGAAATGTCTTCAGTGCCAGGCATTGTAGCATTATTCACAATAACCTAGATAAGGAATAAACTAAGTGCATATCAATAGATGAAGAAAATATGATTGTCTTAGTCCATTTTTCAGTACTATAACAGAATGCCTGAGACTGATAATTTATAAAGAACAGAGATTTATTTGTCTTTTGGTTTTGGAGGTTGGTTCACGCAACCTCTTAAAAGGCACAGCAGTATGCCTTTGCAGTGTTCATGTGGCGTTGATTCTGTAGAACTCCAAAATGCAACATTACAGGGACATGGCTAGATTTCAAATAATATGATATGATATTGATATGCACTTAGTTGATTCCTTATCTAGGATATTGTGAATAATGCTACAATGTCTGGCGCTGAAGACATTTCTTCAAGATAGAGGGGGCTGCATCTGGTGAGGAACTTCTTGCTGCATCATCCCTTGAAGTCAGAAGATCAGAAGAGCAAGCATGCACACAGGAAAGGGACTGAACTTATTTTTACAACTAAGCCATTTATAACGATAATGGATACACACCCATAATAGCAACATTTATTAATTTATAAAGACAAAGGCCTCATCTCATAAAAGTCTCACTTTCCATACTTTTGCATTGGATATTAACTTTCCAGCACATAAACTTTGAAGGATACATTTAAGCCACAAAATTCCACCTTTCCCCCCTCAATTCATGTGCTTCTTACAAAGCAAAATACATTCATTCCATTATAATAGTCCCCCAAATCTTAATTAATTCCAGAGTCAACTCAAAAGTCCAAAGTCTCATCTAAATCAGATATGAGTAAACTCAAGGAATGGTTTACCCTGAGACAAATTTCCTGACAGCTATGAATATAACAAGCTACATTTTATTTTGGTGCTTTTAAATCTAATGATGGGAGAGACATATGATAGACAGTTCCATTCCTAGAGGAAGAAATAGGCAAGAAGGAAGGAGTAACTCAACTTAAACGATTCCAAAACTCAACAGGGAAAAACAACATTGCCTTAAAGCTGGAAAACAATCTCCTTTCACTCCATGTCTGACATTCTGGGCATACTGGAGTATGGATTGGTTCCCTGAAGCCTCAAGCATTCTTTCCACTATTGCTTTCTGAGCTCAGTCTACCTAGCAGTTATCACAGATTGGGTCTCATGCCTGTAGCAGACTGGAGTTGTACACTGGTGGCCCTATAGTTTTGAGGTTTTAGGGGCTACTATGCCTTCACCAGGCATTTCCCTACTGGTGACTACTTGTGGTAGTCTCACATTTATGGTTCTGCTGGCATTGCGCCAGTAGAAGCTTTCTGTAGTAGCTCTGTTTTTGTAACAGGTCTCTGACTGGGTTTCTAGGCTCTTCATGATATTATTTGAAATCTAGCCATGTCCTTGTAATGTTGCATTTTGGAGGTCTACAGAATCAACGGCACATGAACACTGCAAAGGCATACTGCTATGCCTTTTAAGAGGTTGTGTGAGCCACACCTGGGCCCATTTGAGACATGGGTGGTGCAGCCAAGGAAATGTACATCTGAATACAGAGTCCCATAATGGGCCTGTGGAGTGAGCCAGCAGGGAGCATTTTAGGGATATTCCCTGTAACTATTTTGCCCTTTCAGAGCTCTGGGTCTGTGATGTGAGGGGCCCCTCAAAGATCTCAGAAAATTCTTCAGGGTCATGCCCCCATTATCTTAATGAATAGAACCCAATTTTCTCCTCCCTATATTAATTAGCAAGCACAGAAAACTAAGGGTGTGCTTTGCCATACACTTAGTATTCTCTGCCAGACATACTTTTTTTTTTTTTTTTGAAAATGTGGTGGGATGGAACATACTCCAAAATTGATCACATCTTAGGTCATAAGTCTAACCTCAGTAAATTTAAAAGAATAGAAATTATTCCATGCAACTTCTCGAAACATCATGGAATAAAAGTTGAACTCAGTAACAACAGGGATATGAAATCTCATACAAAAACATGGAAGCTAAATAACCTTATGCTGAATGATAGGTGGGTCAAAAGACGAGATCAAGAAAGATGTGGTATTTTCACATACAATTTGAAATATTTTCATCAAACTGGTTAATATAGCCTTCATGTCATTTTCTTAGTTATTGTGTTAAGATGTTCATATTCTACTCTTAGGGAAGTGATCCCCCCAATTACCCTCCCTCCACCCATTGCCTCCACCCCTTTCCCTCCCCCCTCCTCATATATGAAGAAGACTTCCATGGCAGTTACAATAGAAATAAAGAAATGGTGCTTAATGAGTCTGAATAGCTTTGTACAGCTAAAAAGACAACAACCAAAGCAAATAGACAACCTTCAGAATGGGAAAAGATATTTACATATTACGAATTCAACAAAAGCTTGATAAGTAGGATCTACAGAGAACTCAAATCAGTCTACAGAAAAAAGATCCAATGATTCCTTATATTACTGGGCAAGAGAAATGAATAGAAGACAGACAAATGGCTAACAAACATGAAAAATGCTAATTGTCTCTAATTATCAGAGAAATCCAAATCAAAACTACCCTCAAGATATCACCTAACCCCAGTGAGAGTGTCCCACATCACAAAGTCTCAAACCTGCAGATGTTGGTGTGAATGTGGAGAGAAGGGGACACTTTTACACTGCTGATGGGACTGAAAACCAATACAATTTTTTGGAAGGAAGTATGGAGAATTCTCATAGAACTTTAGTTAGGCCTCCCATTTGATCCTGTAATCTGATTACTGGGCGTCTACCTAGAAGAAAATTGTTTTATAATAAGGACATTTGCATGATACTGTTTATTGCAGCTCAATCTACAATTGTCAAACTGTGGAAACAACCTAAATGCCGATCAATCTAGGAGTGGATTAACAAGCTGTGGTATATGTATACCATGGAATACTGTTCATTCATTAAAAAGATGGAGACTTTACATCTTTTGTATTAACTAGATAGAGGTGGAATGAATTCTTAATGCATCACATGAATGGAGAAGCAAGAATCCAATGTGTTCAATTATAATATGAAGACAATAGATGACCTAATACAAAGTGATGGGTAGGGGAATGAGGGAGTGGGGAGAGAAAAAAAGGGAGGGCATTGGGGGGTCATAGTGTAATGACATACATCTTGAGGGTGGGACACAATTGTTAGAGGGAATTTACCTAACAAATCCAATCAGTGTAACCTAATTCTTTGTACCCTCAGTGAATCCCAAACAATAAAAGCTAAATCTTTAAAGGGAACCCACTCATCTTCAGTTAATAATACATGCAATGTAAAAAAAAAAATCCCTGAGTTGATACGGCTTAATTCCTAGGACCCTCAGTTCTTTAAAGATTGTTACAATGGGTATGGGTGTTATCATCTCTTAACAAAAGTGTCTTGATGTTCATGGAACTTACATTGAGAAATAAAGTTTATGTTTTTTTATTTTTATATTTTAAATACATTTTTCCATGAATGTTTTGAAATTTCCTCTTACATGGTGGGTCTGTATAAAACAAGATGTATGACAAAAAATGATTTTGGAATATATGCATATTATTATTTTCATTTTTTCCTTGATGGAGTTAAAAAAAAGTGTATTAAACATATCAGTAATACAACATCTATTTTTAAAGGTTTGTTTCTTGTTTTCCATGAAGAATAATGCTCTTTAAATCTCTATTCAAAACACCATATTATGGAAAGTGTAGAGATATACAGTAATAATTTTTGTTATACTCACATTTTTATATTTTAGGTATTCTAGGGGTATAAAGGATTTTAGCACCTGTAGCTTGGATGACTTTAAATATTTTGTTTCACGCAATGGCCTTTCTTGTCTTCAGAACAACCCTTTTGCTAAGCCAGTTTATAGAGAAGAACAAAAGGCAGCTTGTGGCAATGGAGTGTTGGAAACTAATGAAGAATGTGATTGTGGCACTAAACAAGTTAGTAAATTTTTTTCTGTTTTTCTTAATTTTACATATGTATATAATAGATAAACAAGAAGATAGATACCTTATCTATTAGTAAAACAGATTTGAAAAATATAATCTTCTTTGGGGAAGATGGAAGCCTTTAAGTCTCCTAATTTTATGATTTTTTGGAAGTAGAGAACAAAGGTCCAATTATATTGTTTGCCTTCAAAGATTGCCTCTGATACAATTCAGTGTATGTATCCGTTTTAAACTTAAAGTTAGTGACTGCAAAGAGTGTCTAATGAATTGATGGAATATACTCTTAAAAGAAGCAATAATAAAAACAAACAACCACAGCTAAAGATAGGAGTAGTATAGCATAGACTATAATTGATGGGATAGTAAAATGTATTGTTTGCTAATACAGGGGAAAAAGGTGTTTTATTGAAAGGTAATGCTAATGAAAATATTTTAAAATGAAATACTTAATGCCATTTTTGCAACACATACACACACTCACAAAAACAATAATAAATAACTGTATTCGAGCATGATGACAAAAGGAGAGCTCTGGAATACAAAGGAGTGGCAAAAACCTGTACCTTCTGTGTGGAATGGAGAAATTCAGAATGGCTACATGAAGAAGGGAAGTAAACACCTTGCTTCTGCACTTCCACCGCTCCATTGGAATCAGGAGAGACCTCTCTCCCTGAGATGAAAGGTAATCAGAAGGCCCTCAGAGGCCCCCATTACCATCGCAGACACCTGAAGTCTCTGCCTCTAGAGAATCCTGCATTCCTCACAGCTCCTTGACTTCAGTGACTACATTGTGACATTTTGAAACCAGAGCCACTGACAGAGTGGGTCCTTCTCTAGTGGCCAGTACACACTGCACCCCTTTATCCCCAAGCTCTACTGTAATTGCAACAGGCTCCAACACATGAAAGTGTGCCATTCTCTAGCTGACCTGATAACAGTTTCCTATACCCTGGGAAAAAGCTGCCTATCAGGATGTCTAACTTCTCTATCTCAATTGCTGCTATGCCTCACCTTCAACTACTCAGAGCCTAAGTCAAGCAGAACAGATGTACCTCCAGGTGACTGAAATAACCCAGAGCTCTCCATCCTACCAGGATTTGGAATTTCAGCTTGGGGAACATCTGTGACCTGAGATCCTAGGCTCCTGTAATGACCTATTTTGGATCAACCTGCTGATTTACTGGAACAGTCACACTCAACTTTGTCGAGCAGCCACAGTTCCTCAGTACTTGAATAAAATTAGTGCCCTACTCCCTTCAATCCCAACTTTTGCCTAAAAAATATGCCACACCCCCACAACTAAGGCCACATGCTCTCCTGTCACCCAGACTAAGACTACTGGCCTAATGGAGAAGCCCTGCTGTGGCAGACATACTACCTTAACTCCCAGAGACAAGGGACCCTACTCCAGTGTAGCAGCCACACATCCCAGCACTTGAGCCAAGTAATGCCACATCTCTCAGGGACCTGGGCAATCAGTTCTAGCTCAGCAGAATAACTGTTTCCAGACACTAGACCTTATGTTGTTCTCTGTCTCCCAGGAAAACAGAACCATACCAACACACTCTCTGGGCTGACTAGTTGTAATGCCTCATTTCCCCACATCTGGATTAGCCCTCTAGAGTCTGAGCTTATGAGGTGCACTACCTGTCTGTGGAATGGAGCCATAATGCTGCATTGCTTCCCCACCCTCTGGAATTCAAGACACTGCTACACTCTGACATTCCGGAGTCTTTCCTCCTGTGACAGCCAATCTGTCAGAGCCAGAGCCACTGCTATTTTCCCCTACCTCAGGATTCAGAATGCTCACTATGCATACTTTCTTTCCTAGTGCTGAAGTTGCAATTATACCCTGTTGGCTCTGGGCCCCAACTGCAGCTGTGCCTTGCTTACTGAGGCCTGAACTTTGGAATATTTTATCTTCTTTAGAGCCATGCTAGTGTTGTGCTGTCATCCTCTGGGTCAGAATCACAGCCATCTTTAAGCCCTCTGGGCTCAAGAGACTGATGAATGCCTCAAAGTCACAGTCCTCACCTGGGTGAAAGAACTGCATTTATCCTTGCCTCAGAGAGAAAATACACACTCATGTCACAAGTGTCACAATAGTTTATCAAGATAACAAGCCCAGGACCCCACATTTACAGCCACTGTGAGCACTAGTATCCTGAAACACAGTACTGTAGTGGCTACCTGTGGGCCATGTAAGATATGATTCCAAGATGGACCCCTTTGGTCAATTTTTCCCACTACAGGAGAAAGGAGAATAGGACGCTTAAAGTCCTTGTCAGCAAAAACCCATAACAACTTACCTTGCTAAAAACTTTTCCTAAAACAGGTCACTGAGGCATCAGCAGTCATCACTGATATTAACCACAGAGACTACACTGCTGTGCCTATCCAGAAGTACAGCCAATATACTTTACCTAACCAACAGCCTTTATCTTCAGGTAATATTACTCTATAAATCTGGAAGAGGTGATGTCACAACTGATAGGCATACATTAATTCAGGAAGACAAGAAACATGAAACAGCAAGATCCATGACACTACCAAAGAAACACAATAATTGTCTAGTAACTGACTCTGAAGAAATGGAAATTTACAATTTCCTGTAAAGGAATCCAAAATAACAATCTTAAACCTCCACAAGTTACTAGAAATACAGATAGACAATTCAAAACAATCATAAAAATAATTCACAATCTGAATAAAATATTCAACAAAGAGATATTATTTTGAAAAAGATCCCAACAGAAGTCTTTGAGCTGAAGAACTGAATGAATGAAATAAGAGAACAATAAAGAGCTACAAAAGAAGACTCGATCAAACAGATTAAATAAATGTGAACTTAAAGATACATTTTTTGAAATTACTCAGAAGAAAAAGAAAATAAAAAAGAATGAAGATAGTGTGGAGAGCCTAAGGGATTCATCAGACACCATTAAGTGAACAAAAATACACATTAGTGGATTTCCAGTAAGAAGAGAGTCAAAGATAAGATCAAAAAGCTTATTTAATGAAATGATTGCCCCAAACTTCCCAACTCTTGGAAGACATCCAGATCAATGAAGCTCAAACCTTGCCAAATAAGTCTTCTCTGAGTCACATTATAATTAATGCCCAAGACAAGGAGAATTTCAAAAACACCAAGAGAAAACTCTGAGGTGACATATAAGGGAATGTCCATTAGACTGTAAGTAAATTTCTCAGCAGAAACCCTGATGGCCAGGAGAGAATGGAATGATATATTCAAAGTACTGAAAGAAAAATAAAAGCCTGTCAGCCATCAATACTCTACCTTGTGCATCAGTCGTATAGATATGAAGAAGAATATTTCCCAGCCAAATAAATGTTGAGGGAATTCATCCCCATAAGACATTCTTTTCAAAAATAGCTTAAAGGAGTTCTCTGACTGAACACAAGAGCTACTAATTAAATCATGAAAACTTATGAAAATATAAAACTAACTGGTAGAAAAAATTTATAGGCAAAGTCAAAATACTTGATTCTTATAATGGTGGTGAGTAAATTTTTCAAATCTCTAGTATAAAGGTTAAAAGTCTAAATGGTCATAATAACTAGAGCTATAATAAGTTATTAAGAAACACAAAATATAAAATATGCAAATTGTGAAAATACAAATATAAATTGTATAAGGAAGGATAAAAGTCTAGACTATTTGTATATGACTGAAATTAAGTTGTTATCAGTTTAAAATAGTCCGCAATAAATGTAGGATGTTTTATGGAAATCATGCAGCAAAACCTATAGCAGATACACCAAGAAAGAGAGAGAAACAAAACCTTGGCATTACAGAAAACTATTAAATCACAAAGATAGATAAGAGACAAAGAGCAAAGTATCTAGAAAACTAGAATATAATAATCAAAATAGAAGTCTTTACTAATCAATAACAACCTTAAATGTGAATGTATTAAACTCTTTAATCAAAAAAGGGTAGATAAATTTATGTAAAAAATAAAATCCAGCTAAAGTAAGAAGAGACAAATCTGAATAGTCTCATATTTAATGAAGAAATTCAATTCACTTCATAATTAGTAAAAAATAGTTTCATATATTCCAGACCAGAATCTAAAAATTCTCTTGTTTCACTAGTTTGTTTAACCAAACATACAAAGAAGAAATAATACCAATTATATATGAATATTCTCTGATAGTGGATACAGGTGATGTCTTAGAATTCATTTCATGAGGTGAATACAGGACTGAAGCCAAAAGAAGCACAAGATAATTAAAAGATAAAAATCACACAATTTTTCCTCAATTTTTAACAATACATTGAAAGGGTGGTTAATAAATCTCAGGAATACAAGATTGTTTTAACATATGAAAGTCCTTCAATTTAATTAGATATATTTACAAAATGGATGAAAAAATAGTTCAGAAAATTTATAAAATCATGATAAATTGCCTCAGCATTCTAGAAATAACATAGAATCTCCTCATTCTAATAAATGCCATCTATGAAAACCTACAACCAACATCATATTATATGTACTTTCAAAAGACTCAAAATTTTTCCCAATCATCTGTGTAAGGCAAAGACTCTCAACATTTCCTTTTAATGTTGTAGTAGATGTTATATAGCCAATTGCAGTAAGGCAAGATAAAGAAACACAAAATGATTGGAAAAGAAGCAGTAAGATTATCATTAATTAAACTTAATTTGGCCACATAGAAAGAAATCTTCAAAGAAATCTTCAAAATCTTCAAAATCTTCAAAAAATCTACTAAAACTAGTACAGTTTGAAAGTCTCTGGCTATAAGGCCAATATACAAAAATCAGTTGCATTTCTGTATATAAACAACAAGGAACTAGACAAAATAAGAGATACAATGTTACCCCAAACATGAAATCTATAGATCTAATTTTTAACAACATACATGCAAGATATATATAATGAACATTGCTCAAATAAATGAAAGAAGATCAAAACAAATAGAGATATATCCCACTTTCATGGATTAGAAGACACAGTGCTAAGATGGTTTCTCTACATAAATGAGAATGTAAATATACATTCAAAAATCCCAATCCAATCTTTATCCATCTTTTCTCCTCTGTATGTGTGAATATATTATAATTTATTCAACTAGTTTTTAAAAATTGTTTATTAATTTTTAATTAAAGTCATACATGTAAACATTTATGGGGTAACTTGTGATGATTTGATATACAATATGAAATGCTTAAATTAAACTGATTAACCTAGCCATCACCTCACTTATTTTTTGTGGTAAGGTATTTGAAATTTACACTCAGTTATGTTGAAATATAGCCTGTACAAGAAAGTATCTATTTTTATTTTTTTACAAATTGACAAGTTGATACAATATATATGGAAATGCAAATTACCTAAAATAGGTAAACCCATTAAAAGAAAAACAATAAATTTGGAGTACATATATTATTTTTTTGTAAATTAAAAATGTTCTATAAAGTTTTAATAATCAAGATAATGTACTATTGAATATATATTAATTGAACAGAATAGAGAATCCAGATATAAAATGGTATTTATATGGTAAATTAAGTTTACTCAAGGCTATTCAATGGGTGAAGATAATCTTTTTAATATTTTAAATCTTTCCAAATGAATAAAAAGACAAGGAAAACTCAGTTTCTGGTCAGGCATGTAAGGAACTTGAAGTCACCACTTCAATGCCTTGCTAATTTTAGAGATGAGGTCTTGCTCTGGCACAGGCTGTTCTTGAGCCTGTGAGCTCAGGAAATCCATCCACCTCAGCCTCCCAGAGTACTAGGATTATAGCCATGAGCCACTGCTTGGCCTGGCCAAAGATGTTTTAAGCATCAAAAATACATAATGAATTATAATACAGGGTGTCCATAAAATTCATGTGCAATTAAAATAGTTTTACATTGTAAATTACACATAACCTTTATAGATACCCTGCATATTGAATGAAACCATTAAACTAGTAATAAAACATTGTATATAATTTCCAACTTGTTAAAGAAAAGATGCCATAATGAAAATGTATAATCAATACAAAATAAATCAAGGAAGGGCAAAAAAAGGGAAAAGCTCATATACAAGTGAGACCAGTAAACAGTAGAGTTGGGTGATTAAAATCCAAGTCTAGAAATTACATTAAATGCAGTGAACAAGAAGATTGTCAGATTGGATTCATAAAAACAAATAAATTCCATTGTTTGCTTGTTATAAGGGACACACTTTGTAATAGCAATTCAGTTGAATGTAAAAGAAATGGGAAAGATAAGTAAACACTAATCAAAATAAAGAAATTGTAGCTATACCAGATGAAGGAAATAATAAAACAGAGAAATTCAGACATCAGAAAAGGAAGCAAGATATATTCTAGAGATGAGGAGGGACATTTCATAAAGTGGTAGCATCCTGGAAAATGTTTAACAATTGAGTCTCTAAATAATGAGGTATGTATATATGCTACATATATATATTTATTTATATGTAAACATATGTTACTTATATGAAGGGTGGGTAACAACTTATGAATGATAATAAAATGTACAATACCTTCTACTATAAATCCAAATATTTAATTGAGTCTTTTGAAGCAAAGTGGATGCTACTGGAAACGATTATCCTAATTACATTATCTCAGGAATGGAACAGCTTGAAAGATAAAATGAAAATTTTCATATATTAATAAATATAAATAATGTATATCATAAATTACTGGAATAGTAAAACTTACAAATGGATTCAATGATAAAAATGAAATGAGAATAATCTTATAACTAGTAAAATAGTTGTATCCATATTTTAGGATATAATTATTTGTTGTATCCTCAAGGCCACCTGAGATGATGGTTTCTCTGATAAATTCTAACCAATATTGAAGGAAGTAATAACCCAATTGTTTTCTCAAACAATTCCTTACTCTTTTTTATAAAACTCATGTAAATTTGATACAAACTCCCCTCATTATAAGAGAGAAAATTTGAGGCCAGACTCACTCAAGAACTTCAGTGCAAAAATCCTAAACAAATATCAGCAGGATAAATCTGGGCTTTTTAAAGCCATGTAATCTTGATTTAATATTTGATAATAAATTGGGTTTATCTACCACAGTAAAAGAAACAAGGACAAAGTTATAAGGTAGGTTTGATATGTAAATAAAATCCACTTGATAAAAACAAACATCCATTCATAAATTTTCTAGTGTAGTGTTATTTAATAGAACTTTCTTCAGTGACAAAAATATTTTATGTGCTGTACACTGTCCACTAGCCATATGTGACTATTGAACACTTGAAGTGTTGCTCATGTAACTGAGGAATTACTAACTACATTTAATTATAGTTAATTTAAATTTAAATAACTATATATGGCTATTGGTTACCATATTGGACAGCACAGATCTAGGATCTCTGGTTTTTCATTTATTCCAAAGATGTGAATTGGACGCATTGAGAACAGGAATAGGTACAGAAAATATTTGTGATCTTATGATCAGTTAGTGAGGTTAACTTTAAACTCAATGTGTGAATGATCTGGCTGACACAATTTATTCTAAAAGCAAGACTATAAGAAAATGTTTAATGGGAATGGTAGTTAATAAGATATCTAATAAATATTTCCTCTAGCTTTTGACTCTATAGGAATATAATTCTAACTATATGGTACTTAGTGAGGCAGTGCATTTATTTTATAAACTACTGAATAAAATGTCAATTTTATAAATATCATATAAAGAATGGGGTTATTAAAACTGGATTTAAGAAAAGTTTTATATCTTGTAAGTTTGTGTGTTTCAGTTTGGTTTGATAGTACCTAATTATGTAGGCTTATATAACACTTAGCATTTGCTTACAGAATTGTACACATAAATTATGCTGTGATGCTTCGGAATGTAAACTGAAAGGAAGTGCAATCTGTGGTTCTGGAAAATGCTGCACAGAAGAATGCAAGGTAAGGAACAATCAGTATTTGACAATACTCCAGCATTAAATATCTTGAAATATTTGTTTCAAGTAGATGAAAATGTGTCAATAACAAATTCAGCCCTTTCCACTATATGATATTCAAGCAACATGGATAGTCCCTCCTGACTTGCTTTTTGGATTCAATGTATAATTGTAAATTTTTCTATATATCCTCTGATATTTCTCTATGATCAACATATACCTGTAGCAACTCTTTTATAGTCTTCATTTTCTTTTTAAACAATCTACCTTATATAGGTTCAGGAAGTTAGATTAGTTCTTTTCACTGGCTAAATTCACTCCACTTCTTTCCTGTAAATTTCTTTCTTCCTCTGCAATTCAGTTATTGTTACAATATTTTAGTATCCTTTATTGATGACATTTAATGAATTAGAAATGTGATGGAGCAAAATGGTGGAACAGAACTTTCTAGTGATCACCATCCTCACCCTAAAACATTAACTTTGAACATCTATCCATGTATGGAAATACCTTCGCAAGAGCTAAAAAATCAGTGAGAGATCATACTACCTGGATGTAGCAAAATAATAATAAGAGATATATTGAAAAGGGTAGGAAGGACAATTTTACATTACCTGCATCACCCACCCTCTAGGCAGCATAGCTTAGAGAAAGATAGTGTCTACCTGTGGAAGGAGGTAAGTGACAGTAGGAAGGACTATGCCTTAAAACCAACACTGGGCCAACACAGTGAAACTCAGTGCTGGGAAGACCCTTAGCAGCCTGAATCCAGGCTGAGCCCATACTGGTAGCCCTTGAAATATAATTTCTAGGCCAGAATATAAAATAAGACCAAAACAAAATATTAGGAGAAAAAATTCAGAAACAGAATTATCGGGGGAGTGGTCAAGATGGCCGACAGGCACCAGTCTCCAATGGAAGCTCCTGCTCAGAGGAAAGGATAAAGTCCGGAGAAACCCCCAACAAAGTCAAAAACTGGGAGCCTAGCTGAGAAAGAAGAGTGATACTGGCAGGACACCTCTTCTGAGACAGGCGGAGACTTGTAGAGGTCAATCCACAGGTACATAAATTACCCCAAAGGAATAGCGCCCATCCCCTCCCCCAAGAAAGGTGTGCTTTTCCTTTGTTTCCTCTTCAACCGCTCCTCCAAGTGAGTTTCCTACAGGCAACTGATAAACTGAGGACCTATTCTCTCACTCCAGGAGTGAGAGCTGCTAACAGGGAAGTTTACTACCCTGGAGGAACCCAGTTGAGACTCAGAACACCCTCCCCCAGGCAGAAAAGTGGAACTGGCTTCTGCACTGCCATTTTGAGTTTCTAGTCCACTCTCCCTCCCCTTGCCAGCAGAGACAGGGAGAGGAGACCCAAGAACAGCATCCATCCACCCTTTCAAAACCAAGCCCCTGTCCCAGTCCTTTACCAGGAGAACGGCTTGATTCACGCTTTCTGCATGCAGACAGATCCCCCTCAGTCAGCGCATTCTGTGCTCAGCTGTCTCCCCTGCTGCTATCTGCACTTCCTGAACCTTAGTGCCAGTGACCGGGATTGACGCTGGATAGGGAGGGCTACACACCCTGCCAGGCGTCCGCCTCCGCCTCCGAGTCTTTGGTGGCCCTTGATGGCAATTGACTTCTGCTGGGTGGAGTCATTGAGCCGCGCCCGCCTCCCAGAGCCCTGCTGGCTGCGGCTGCCATTGACTCCTGCTGGGGAGGGTCGGGCAGTCCTGCCAGCTGCTTGCTTGCCTCCAGGGCTTTGGCGGCTGGTGAGAGCAACTGACTTCTGCTAGGGCAGGAAAAGCAGCTGCACATCTGCCTCCTGGGGCCCCCTGGCCCTGGATCCCACCAGCTCCTGCCTGAGAGGATCACGCCAGGCTCCAGGGCTTGGGTGGCCAGTGAGGGCAACTGACTTCTGCTGAGCGGGTTGCTCAGTCTTGCGCCCACCTCCCGGGGTCTTGTTGGCTGGCAGTCGCCAGCAGCTCCTGCTAGGAAGGGTCTTGCTATCCCGCCAGTGGCGTGCCCGCTTCAGGGGCTTGGTAGTCTGTGAGGGCAGCTGACTTCTGCTGGGGCCAGTTGCACAGACGTGTGCCTGTCTCCTGGGACCTCCCAGCATGCGATCACCCCCAACTCCTACGGGAGAGGATTGTGCCGTCCAGCCAGCTGCGCACCCGCCTCTGGGGCTTTGGCGGCCTGCAAGGACAACAGACTTCTGCTGGGGAAGGTCACACAGCCACACGCCCACCTCCCGGGGCCTTGCCAGCTTGCAGCCGCCAGCAGCTCCTGCCTGGGAAGGTCACGCAATCCCACCAGCCACGCAACTGTCTTCAGGGCTTTGGTGGCCAGTAAGGACAACTGACCTCCGCTGGGGCAGGTTGCGCCTGCTTCCCAGGGCCTTGATGGCAGCACTGACTCCTGCAGGGATGGGCTGCATCACCCCGACTGCTGGTCCCGCCTCCTGGGGTCTTGCTGGGTTGTGCCAGGAGAAAACTAGAAGAAGCCACTGGCAGAACAGTTTTCAGGACAGTTTCTGAAAGGTGCAAATTCAACATGGGACGGAATCAGCAGAAAAACTCTGGCAACCAGAATAACCAGAGTAGATTAACCTCCCCAAAGAAGGATGGGGTAGACACAATTGAAGACCCACTACATAAACAAATATCTGAAGTGTCAGAAATTGAGTTCAGAATCTGGATAGGGAGTAAGATCAACAGGTTGGAGGAAAAGAGGGAGCTAGAATTTCAAATCACTCAAAAGCTGTCCCAGGAATTCAATGATTTCAAAGATAAAATGATCAAGGATTACGATACACAGAAACAAGAGGTTGCAGATTTGAAGAGCACCATGGAATCCCTCTGTCAGAGGATGAATGAGGCAGAAGATAGGATCTCCGCCACTGAAGACAAAGACTTTTTTTTTTTTTTTTTGAGACAGAGCCTCAAGCTGTCCCCCTGGGTAGAGTGCCATGGCATTACAGCTCACAGCAACCTCGAACTCCTGGGCTCAAGCGAGTCTCCTGCCTCCGCCTCCCAAGTAGCTGGGACCACAGGCGCCCGCCAAAACGCCGGCTATTTTTTTTTGGTTGCAGCCATCATTGTTGTTTGGCGGGTCCGGGCTGGATTCGAACCCGGCACCTTAGGTGTACGTGGCTGGCACCTTAGCCAGTTGAGCTATAGGCGCTGAGCCAAGACAAAGACTTTGAATGCACCCAGACTTCCAAAGATTTTGACAGATGGAGAACAAAAACAGATCTCTCACTCAGAGAGATCTTGGATAATTTGAAGAAAACTAATATTCGACTTATAGGAATCCCTGAAGGTGACAAAGTTGCTTCACAAAACACAGAGGCACTCCTTAATGAAATTATGAAAGAGAACTTTCCAGACATGCCAGGGACCCTGAAATTCAGATAGCAGACAGCTTCAGAACCCTAGCATGACTCAACCCAAGCAAGACATCACCCAGGCATATCATAATCAACTTCACTAAAGCTAACATGAAAGAGAGAATCCTGAAAGCAGCTAGATGCAAGAAAACATTAACTTACAAGGGGAAGAATATTAGAATGACAGCAGATCTCTCTGCTGAAACCTTTCAGGCTAGAAGAGGGTTGTCATCGACCTTCAACCTGCTAAAACAAAACAACTTTCAACCCAGAATCCTCTATCCAGCCAAAGTGAGCTTCATTTATGATGGAGAAATTAAATACTTTAGTGATATTCACATGTTGAAGAAATTTGCCATTACTAAACCAGCCCTTCAGGATATCCTCAAATCTATCCTCCATAAGGATCAACGCAATCCTCCACCACATAAATAAAGCCACCGAGAAAATTTTGACTAAATTCCAATCTCCACTGTGACAAAAGGATTAAAGATGTCTAATGAACCTTCAAAAAACTCGACACCCAAAATTATGCCAGGATTATCAATAGTCTCAATCAATGTAAATGGCTTAAACTGCCCTCTAAAGAGACACATGATGGCTGACTGGACACAAAAACTCAAACCAGGTATCTGTTGCATACAAGAAATGCACCTTATTTTAAAAGACAAGCATAGACTCAGGGTGAAGGGATGGTCATCTATTTTACAGGCTAATGGAAAGCAGAAAAAAACAGGTGTTGCAATACTATTTGCAGATACAATAGGTTTTAAACCAACAAAAGTGAGCAAGGACAATGATGGTTACTTTATATTTGTTAAAGGTAGTACTCAATATGACGAGATTTCAATTATCAATATTTATGTACCCAACCAGAATGCACCCCAATTTTTAAGAGACACTTTAACAGACATGAGCAACTTGATTTCTCCCAGTTCCATCATAGCCAGAGATTTTAATACCCCTTTGGCAGTGCTGGACAGATCATTCAACAAGAAGCTTAGCAAAGAAATTGTAGATTTAAACCTAACCATTCAGCATCTGGACTTAATGGACATCTATAGAACATTTCACCCTAATAAAACTGAGTACACATTTTATTCATCAGCCCACGGAACATACTCCAAAATAGATCACATCCTAGGTCACAAGTTTAACCTCAGCAAATTTAAATGAATAGAAATTATCCCTTGCATCTTCTCAGATCACCACGGAATAAAAGTTGAATTCAGAAACTACAGGAACTTGCAGACTCAAACAAAATCATGGAAGCTAAATAACCTTATGCTCAATGACACTTGGATCAAAGACGAGATCAAGAAGGAAATTACCAAATTCCTGGAATTAAACAACAATGAAGAGACGAGTTATCAGAACCTATGGGACACCGCAGAGGCAGTCCTAAGAGGGAAATTTATGGCACTGCAAGCCTTCCTCAAAAAAACGGAAAGAGAAGAAGTTAACAACTTAATGGGGCACCTCAAGCAACTGGAAATGGAAGAACACTCCAACCCAAAACCCAGCAGAAGAAAAGAAATGACCAAAATTAGAGCAGAATTAAATGAAATTGAAAACAAAAGGATTACACATCAGATTAACAAATCAAAAAGTTATTTTTTTTAAAGTAAATAAAATACATAAACCTTTGGCCAACCTAACCAAGAAAAAAAAAAAAAAACTTAAATCTCTAATTTCTTCAATTAGAAATGGTAAAGACGAAATCACAACAGACCCCTCAGAAAGTCAAGAAATCCTCCATGAATACTACTAGAAACTTTATTCTCAGAAATATGAAAACCTGAAGGAAATCGACCAAAACTTGGAAGCACTCCACCTTCCAAGACTTAATTAGAACAAAGTGGAAATGTTGAACAGGCCCATATCAAGCTCTGAAATAGCAGCAACTATACAAAATCTCCCTAAAAAGAAAAGCCTGGGACCAGATGGCTTCATGTCAGAATTCTACCATACCTTTGAAGAAGAGCTAATACCTATATTATTTAACCTTTTCCAAAATATAGAAAAAAGATGGAATATTACCCAACACATTCTATGAAGCAAATATCACCTTGATCCCCAAACCAGGTAAAGATCCAATAAGAAAAGAAAATTATAGACCAATATCTCTAATTAATATTGATGAGAAAAGATTCAGCAAGATCCTAATAAACAGAATCCAGTAACACATCAAGCAAATTATACACCATGACCAAGTGGGTTTTATCCCAGGATCTCAAGGCTGGTTCAACATACACAAATCTATAAATGTAATCCACCACATAAACAAATTAAAAAACAAAGACCATATGTTCCTCTCAATAGATGCAGAAAAAGCTTTTGACAATATCCAGCATCCATTCATGATTAGAACACTTAAGAAAATAAGCATAGAAGGGACTTTTCTCAAGATTATAGAGGCCATCTACCGCAAACCCACATCCAGTATCGTATTGAATGGAATTAAATTGAAACCATTTCCACTCAGATGAGGAACCAGGCAAAGTTGCACACTGTCCCCATTGCTCTTCAACATCGTAATGGTAGTCTTAGCCATAGCAATTAGGGAAGAAAAAGCAATCAAGCGTATTCACATAGGATCTGAAGAGATCAAACT